GAGCATCTTTTCATGTGCTTGTTGTCCGTTTGTAGCTCGAAATGTCAGCTCATTTCTGTCTTAGTTATCTAGTGCTGCTATAACAGAAATACCCCAATGGATGGTTTTAACAAACAGAAGTTTATTCTCTCACAACCTAGTAGGCTAGAAGTCCAAATTCAGGGCATCAGGTCCAGGGCAAGGCATTCTCTCTCTGTCAGCTCTGGAGGAAGGTCCTTGTCATCAATCTTCCCCTGGTCTAGGAACTTCTCTGTGCAGGAACCCCAAGTCCAAAGGACATGCTCTGCTCCTGGCACTCTTTTCTTGGTGGTATGAGGTCCCCCTGTCTCTGTGCTGCCTTCTCTCTTTTATATGTCAAAAGACATTGACTTAAGACACAGCCTAATCTTGTAGATTCAGTCCTGCCTTATTAACATTATAGAGGTAGGATTTACAACATATAGGAAAATGACATCAGATGACAAAATGGTGGACAGTCACACAGTACTGGGTATCATGGCCTAGCCAAGTTTACACACATTTTTGGGGGATGCAGTTCAATCCATAACAATTTCCTTTCCCCATTTTTTTTTTGAGTCGTTTGCCTTTTTTTTTGTTGTTAAATTGTAGGAGGTCTTTATATATTCTGAATATTAATCTTTTATCAGTATATGATTTGTAAATATTACCTCCCATTCTGTAGGTTGTCTTTTCATTTTTTGCTAATGTCCTTTGATGCACAAAGGTTTTTAATTTTATTGAAATCCAATTGATCTTTTTTTTTTTTTTTTCTTTTGTTGTTCATGGTTTTGATATTGGCTCTAAAGTTCCATTGCCAAATCCAAGGTCATGTAGATTTACCCCTGTTTTTTCTTCTAAGTGTTTTATGGTTTTAGCTCTTGTGTTTAGGTTATTGATCCATTTTGAGTTAATTTTTATAGAAGGTGTAAAGTAAGGGTTCAAATTCATTCATTTGCATGTTACTTGAAGAGACTGTTCCTTCCCCATTGAGTGGACTTGGCATCCTTGTTGAAAATCAGTTGGCCGTGATGTGTAAGGGTTTATTTCTGAACTCTCAATTATATTGCATTGGTCTATATGTCTGTCTTTATCTCAGTACATACAACACAGTTTTGATTACTGTAGCTTTTAAATTGGGAAATGTGTGCTCTCCAGCTTTGTTTCTTTTCCAGATTGTTTTAACTTATTTAAGGCCCCTTGCAATTCCTTATGAATTTGAGTATTGGCTTTTCCATTTCTGCAAAAAAGGCTGTTGGAGTTTTGGTAGGGATTGTGTTGAATCTCTAGATCACTTTGGATAGTATTCATATCTTTTGTTGACATCTTAATATTGACAGTTTTAAGCCTTGCAATACATGAACATGGAATGTTTTCCATTTATTTAGGTCTTTAATTTCTTTCAGCAGTGTTTTCTAGTTTCCAGTGTACAAGCCTTTCACCTCCTTGGTTGAATTTATTCCTAGTAATTTTTTTAGATATTCTTCTTTTAGATACCATTATAAATGGAATTGTTTTCTTAATTTTCTTTTTGGATTTTTCATTGCTGGTATATAGAAATACAACTTATTTTTGTGTGTCAATCTAGTACCCTTCAACTTTTTTTTTTTTTTTAATTGTGCTTTACGTGAAAGTTTACAGAGAAAAGTAGTTTCTCATTCAACAGTTTATATATAGGTTGTTTTGTGACACTGGTTGCAATCCCTGTGATGTGTCAACAGTCTCCCCTTCCCCAACCCAGTTTCCCCATTTTCATCCATCTAATTTTCCTGTCCCTTCCTGCCTTCTCATCTTTGCTTTTGGGCAAGTGTTGCCCACTTGGTCTCATATACTTGACTGAACTAAGAAGCACATTACTCACATGTGTTATTGTTTGTTTTATAGGCCTATCTAATCTTTGGCTGAAGGGTGAACTTCGGGAGTGGCTTGAGTTCTGAGTTAAAAGAGTGTCTGGGGGCCATAGTCTCAGGTTCCTCCAGTCTCAGACCAGTAAGTCTGGTCTTTTTTGGTGTGTGTATGAATTTGAATTTTGTTCTACATTTGTCTCCTGCTCTGTCTGGGACCCTCTATTGTGATCCCTGTCAGAGAGGTCTTGTGGTGGTAACTAGGCACCATTTAGTTGTTGCGGGCTCAGGCTGGTGGAGGCTGTGTACCCGCAACTTTGCTGAATTCATTTATTATCTCTAGTTGCTTTCTTGTGGGTTCTTTGGGATTTTCTGTATGTTGGATTATGTCATCTGCAAATAAAGATAGTTTTACTTCTTCCTTTCCAACTTGGATGTTTTTTGTTTAATTTTTTCTTGCCTGATTGCTCTGGCTAGGGCTTCCGCAACAATGTTGAATGCCAGTGGTGAAATTGGGCATCCTTGTCTTTTTCCTGATCTTAAAGGGGAAGCAAAACCAGTAAAGCCTGTAAGTATTTATATACAGAGATTATATCAAGGAATGGCTCATGAGGTTGCAGAGGCTGGAACATCCCAAGTCTGTGGGTCAGGATAGAGGCTTCACCTGACCAGGGGCTGGCAAAGCCAAAATCGACAGGTCAGAGATCAGGGCTCTTGCTCACAGTTTGCAAAGACCAATGAATCCCAAGATCAGCAGGCAAGATGGCAGGTGAGCTGCTGGCTCAAGTCCCAAGAAGAGGTCAGAGGAACAGGAGCTAGCTGCAAGATCCAGAATGAGCAAAAGCCCCCTAGCCTTGCCAGAATTATTAGATGCAGGCCACATGCCCAAGGGAACTCTCTTTCAACTGATTGGCTACTCACAGCAGATCCTATCATGGGAGGTGACTGCATTATATCAGATCTCATCATGGAGATGATCACAACATCATACAACTCCCAAATTACATCATAAGTGCCAAACCACTGAGAATCATGGTCCAGCCAAGTTGACGCACAGCCATAGCCATCACAAGCATCAAGTGTGATGTTAGCTGTGGGTTTTTTATAAATGCCCTTTTTGCGTTGAAGAAGTTCCCTTCTATTCTGAGTTTCCTGGGTGTTTTTATCATGAAAGGATATTGATTCATTTTCTTATATTGATCCAGTCTTGCATTCCTAGGATAAACCCCACTTGTCATGGTGTATAAACCTTTTACTATGCTGTTGGATTTGGTTTGCTAGTATTTTGTTGAGGATTTTTGCATCAATATTCCTAAGGGATATTGGTCTGTAATTTCCCTATCACATTTTATCTAGCTTTGTATCAGGGTAATGCTGGCCTCATAGAATGAGTTAGGGAGCGTTTCCTCCTCTTCTGTTTTTTGGAAGAGTTTATGAAAGGTTGGTATTAATTCTCCTTTAAATATTTGGTAGAATTCATCAGTGAAGTCTTCTGGTCCTGAATTTTTCTTTTTTGGGGAAAGGTTTTTGATTACTTATCCAATCTCTTTGCTTGTTACAGGCCCATCTTTTAATGTGTGTTTTCTAAGTACAGTGCTGTTATTATTCTACTCAGAAATTTCACTTATGTACATATTAAACTCTGAACCTAATAATCTATTCCTCTGGCCTAATCTTCTGCTGTGTTTTTCAGCCAAACGAGGCTCCTCATTACTGATGTAGGCAGAATAATGCAGTTCTACTCTGTTCTGTAGCATCTCTCTGAGTCGGAGTTGACTTGATGGCAATGGGTTTTTTTTAAGATAACCACATCCTGATCCCGGAATCTGTAAATATATTAGGTTATATTGCAGAGGTGAATTAAGATTGTAGATGGAATAAAGGTTGCTAATCATCTGATGTTAAAATAGATAAATTATCCCAGATTATCTGGATGGGCCCAGTGTAATCTTAAAGATCCTTAAAATTAGTGGAAGAGGAGACAGAAAAGGAAAGTGAGAGGGAATGTGATTGGAAGAAAGGCACAGAGAAATGCAGTGTTGCTTGCTTTGAAGATGGGAAGGGAGTTTAACAAAAGAATGTGGGCAGCCTTTAGAAACTAGAAAGGACTAGGAAAGAGATTCTCCCCTAGAGCCTCCAGAAAGGAACACAGCCCTATGGACATCTTGATTTTAACCCAGTAAGAGCCATGCCAGACTGTGAACTATAAGATAATAAATTTGTGTTGTTTTAAGCCACTAAGTTTGTGATAGTTTGTTATAGCAGCAATCAAAAATGAATATAATAACTCAAGCATATTTTATTTACTGTTTCTTATGTTAGTTTATTTATTCAGGCCAAACTGAGTCTAAGTTTTAAAATTGGTTGTTAAAATTATACTCATTGTGCAAGGCCTGTTTCAAAGCTTCCTGGATCACAGAGTCTTTTGTTATTCTTCACCCTGCTTCCCACCCCCATGTATCCTCTGACCAAGCATACCTGGTTTCTCTCTTCTGTTTCTGTAGTTCTTTGCTTTTACTTTCCTTATGGCGTCTAACTATAATACAGTTTTAGAATATAGTATTTGGTATTCATTTTATAAAAATTGTATTTTTTTTTAAAAATTAAGTTCATAAAGCAATATAACGATAGTAACAAGTTCTTCTATCCAGGGAGAACTCTGAGGGGAGTTACGGTAAATGTTGTAAGGCAGTTCCTGTAAGCCATAGGTATTGAAACCAGTGATTGATTATTAAAAGTATAGCATGTCTATAAGGATGGTGTTACAGACATGGTATTTCTTTCCTAACAAATACATTTTGAAGATCGGTCAGAATGAATATTTATAATATTAAAATAATGCTTAATTCTTCTTTGACTTTGATTTTGAAAGTAAAAGAATTGTTTTCTTCCCAAGTGATTAGAACTCAGCTGCTGACCACAAGGTTGGCAGTTTGAATCCACCAGCCACTCCTTGGGAACCCTATGGAGCAATTCCACTCTGTCTTATAGGGTCACTATGAGTTAGAATTGACTCGATGGCAGTGAGTTTGGTTTTTTGATTTTTCTAGTGATTGGAAAAGAAGTCTTCTAGGAATAAAGGAAACTTCAGCTGAACTGATGCCCCTTTTTGCAAATCTTTTTTTTTTGAGTATCAAATGTGATATTTGTCTCTCGTAGAATGGAGATGTATGCATTTCGATTCTTCATCCGCCTGTAGATGACCCACAGAGTGGAGAACTGCCCTCTGAAAGGTGGAATCCTACTCAGAATGTCAGGTAAGGGGTTAACATCAGGAATAATCTATTTTTGGGGTAGACCTTACCTTAAAGTTTTCTTTGCCCCTAATAAAGTGAAATTGAATACTGTCATTTAACTAGTACAGAAGAGTCTTTTCTTTAATTGGCTGTTTTATCTTCAGCTAGCTAGCTAGTATGTATTGTTCTGAAGAATTGTATTTACTGTGCGATAATGCATATGATTCTCATTTCCCCTGTGTTTTTACTGTGGAAGAAATTTTCTAGTCTGAACTCCTCCTCTTCTATTATCTCAGTTCCACTGTTTCTTTGGATCCCATGAATTCTGTGTAAGGTTGCCTCCTTATTTAGGATTCTTAGTACTTTTTGCAGAAAAGCCTTAGTCTTTACAAACTCAAAATTGACTTTGCATACTTCTTAAAAGAGCTTTCATTATCAGGTGTTTTTTCATTGTTTTATGTGTGTGTGTTTATGGATGTTTCTTCTGATTTGGAAAGGTTGTTATTTTTCTTTTTATTTCCTTTGATTATCCATCTATTGATTGATCTAGTTATCTAGATAGGTCGGTATTTAATCATCTGTTTGTTTAGACTCTTGATCTATAAAAGAATTCTGAAAAACTATGAACCCTGTGCATATTTTTAAGTGAACATAAATTTTTTTAATCATTAATTTAGATGGTTAAAAGATAACAATTTTCTACGTGAATTTGTATTTCCATTTCACTACCCCTACTGAGTTTTATTCTAATGCTTGAAATTTTTATGCTTTATAACCTTGCCTTGCTTACTCTATAACACTTTTCTGTAACAAAAATCTATATAAATTTGTTTTTAAATTGCTTGTGACAGTAAGCCTCTAAATGTTAAAACTTTTCTATATTGAGGTATTATAATGATTATTAATATACAGTTGATTAAAAGCAAAATAAATACTAAAATTTTGATACATTTTTACTTTTAATAATTATTGGAAATGCGTTTCTTAATCAGATGGCTAGAACATTTTTTTCAGTTAACTCATGTACTCATGGGTGTTACATTGCTAGAATGATGAATTTAGCTTCAGTTTTTTTATATACCCACCCACACATACATGCACATACATTTTACATGCAGGGACTAAGAAACCTTGTTTAAATATGATAATGGAATAAAATTTTAAGGCAATGAAAATTTCTTATAAGTTATTTGAAAATTCATGTGGAAGTCTGTCATTCTTTAAAAAAAAATATATAACATCTTTATTGAGATATAATTCATACCATACAGTTCAGCCATTTAGTGTCCAGTGATTTTTAGTGTATTCACAGAGCTGTTCAACCATCACCACAATTAATTTTAGAATACTTTCATCACCCTAAAAAGAAACCCATATACCCTGTAGCAGTGACTCTCCATTACCTCTCAACCCCCTCCTCCCCACTCTAGGAAACTACCAGCCTACTTTCTGTCTCTATGAATTTGCCTATTCTGGACATGTCATATACACAGAATCATACAGTATGTGGTCATTTGTGGCTAGCTTCTTTTACTTTGCATGTTTCAAGGTTAACTGTGTTGTAGCATGTATCAGAACTTCATTCCTTTTTTTTTTTATATTTTATTGTACTTAGGTGAAGGCTTACAGAACAAATAGTTTCCCATGAAACAGTAGTACACATGTTGTTTTATGACATTGGTTAACAACCCCACAACATACTAACCCTCTAACTTCTCAACCTTTTT